CATAGGCAAAAGGAAAGAGGTGGCTGTGGGGTCCCCAGGCTTTCGAGAACCTACAACAATGTGAAGGACAAGAAAGCCATAGCCACCCACGGCCTCTCACCCTGCCCAAGCACATTGGCCCATAGGGAGCCCTTGATCCGTCCTCACCCTGCCACACCTCAGGTGTGGGTGCTGGTTGGATCAGGGCCAGTTAATCCGGGAAGCAAAAACCTCATGGCAAACGGCTGTTTGTCACCTACTAGAAGTTAGCAGGGGAGACAGCGTGGCTGAAGGTCAACCCAGGACAGCTTGGTGCCAGGGTTGCACGACTCCCTCTGCAAGGCTGGGGCTGGACAGGTCAGCTCAACTGGCTGCTGCCACCTTCAAGAGCTTTGGAGGCTTTTTAGGAAGTAGCCTTAGTCAGACATGGTGGGGCATGCCTTTAATCCCAGCACTCAGGAGGCAGAGGCAGGCAGATCTCTGGGAGATCAAGACCAGCCTGGTCTATGTAGCAAGTTCCAGGCCAGCTGAGGCTACAGGGAGAACTTGTCTCAAAAAAAAAAAAAAAAAAAAAAAAAAAAAAAGATCTCGGCACCCAGGGCACACAAAGCCTGATCTGCTCCTGGGAAAGACTAGATGGCCACCCGGGAGCACGTCAGAGTCCAGCCTCAGCCTGGAGCTGGAGACACAACAGGGGTGGAGCTGAGATCGTGGGACCCATGTGGAGGGGTGGGACAGGCTGTGTGGCTTCCTCAGTCTCTTGATTCAGCTTGCTGGATTGGCCAAGACTCTGGTCTTCTGGTCACAGTGAACACAGGTCAGAGGTCCCACTGCCCCATCTAGGCTGGCTGGTCTGTCCTGATATGGGTGTGGCCCTTCCTGGGTGTGAGCTGTGATTATGGCCTCTGAAGGAGGCCTCCCTCACCTGACTCTGACATGGTCACCTCATGCCCCGCAGGCACAGGGTCTCAACCCCTTACTTTCCCAGTGTCCCTGTAGTTGAGCTCAGCTCCTTCCTTCCTTTCAGCTGCCCCTGGCATGGCCCTGTGCTAAGCATCTGGACCCCCAGGACAGCCATTTGACAAACCCTCACCTGGTCCCAGAGCCAGGCAGCAAAGACTGTCCCAAGTCCCCAGTCATGACAGGGACCTGTGTGCCAAACCCACAGGGTGCACCCAGCACCTCACAGGCCCACCCCTACCTCACCTACCTGCTGGAGCTATGAGCCAGAAACAGGGTGTCCACAACCCTGGAATGTGCCGTCACCTCCATTAAATCCCTTGCAGGGCAGGAGAAATGCTGATTTCTGGATGAAGAGGACCCAATGGAGTGAGGTGGACCCCAGCCAGTCCTTCCAAAGTCTCCCTGGGAGAGGGTAGGAGAGGAGAGCCTGGGAGCCTGCTGGGAAAATGCTGCAGTCACAAGTGTCCAGCAGGGGGCAGGGCTGTGTGTGTGTGTGTGTGTGTGTGTGTGTGTGTCTGAGAGAGAGAGAGAGAGAGAGAGAGAGAGAAAGAGGCCGGGCGGGGGGGCACACACCTTTAATCCCAGCACTTGGGAGGCAGAGGCAGGAGGATCTCTGTGAGTTCAAGGCCAGCCTGGTATACATAGAGAGTTCCAGGCCAGCTGGGGCTATGGAGAGACCCTGTCTCAAAAACACACAAAAAAATTAAAAAGAGAGAGAGAGAGGAGAAACAGATACAGAAACACAGAGATACAGACCCAGAGAGAGACATACAGAAGAGAAACAGAGACTCAAGAGTGACAGAAAGAGACAGAGAGAGACAGATGATCAGTGTGGGTGGAACCAATCTAGAGACTCACGATTGGGCAGGGCTTCCATGCCTTACCTTGAAGGTAGGTGAGAGGGAAATGCTGCATCTCCCTTTTCCTTCCAGCAGCCCTGAGTCCATTGCTGCCATCTTGCAGGTGGGAACACTGAGGCCCAGACACACTGGGGAGTGTCTTGATGGGGCACACCCAGAATTCCAGTGCTTTCAGGACCTGATGCTCAGAAATGTCCCCACAATGGTCTGCCTGGATGTGGGGACAAGAAAAAAGCCTGTGCTGACAGGAACAGAGGTGTGGGTGGGTGACCCAGTTCCTTCCTTAGACTAAATCTACTTTCTGGGTGGGAAAATAGAGGCCAGGAAAGGCCAAGTGTTTGCCCAGGGTCTCCAAGGCCACGGCAGGATGAAGGGCTGAGGGCTGAGGCCACTTCTGGAAGTGACTTTAGGAATTTGGGTAGAGATGGCAGGGGGCCTCACAACTCTTTCAGATCCCTGTTTCTGAAGTGTCTTCAAGGCCTGGGGCTGGGAAGAAGGGGGTGGGCAGCAGTCAAAGCTGTCTCCTGAGGCAAAATCATTGCTCAGAGCATGCAAGATGTCCTGAAGTGGATAGGTTAAGACAGGCTCTCCCAGGTCTTCCTGAAACAGTGGTTCAGCATGAACACACCAGGGAAGGACAGCTGCAAGGACAGCCCAGGGGGTGGCACCAGGCCTGGCCACTGTCAGAGCTGGAGCAGCCCTGACTAAGGGGGCTTTCTCAGGGTCCTAGACACCTCAGTTGATGCCAAAGACCAGCAAGTCTTGGGCCAAAGACATCACCAGGCCTCTTCCTAACCTTTTCACTCTAAGCAGGAAGTCCTCCTAACATCAAACCACAAAACTGAGGCCTGTTGGGGCAGGGCAGGGCTCATGGGCACCTTTAGTACAGTAGCAACTCCTGACAAGTGGGGACCCACAGCCCAAGGCCATCCACAGCTCTGGCAGGGGACTCAGGCATGATGCCAGGTTCTGGAAGCTCCCATTTGAGGAAGGCAGATATACACACAAGCAGGTCTCAGATGAAAGTATAAAGTGATAGGACACAGGGGACATTGTTGCTGGAGGTGACAGAGGGCCCTGGGCAGGGGTGACCTTGCATAGGGGGAGTGCTGGCCTGGGTGCAGAAGCTGTGACCTGTAGGGCAGGGACAAGAACTCTCCAGGGGTCAGAGCCTTAACTTCCTCTGGCGTCCCACTTTGGGGAATCCCTGGTTGGAAAATGTGGGTTAAACAGCAAGGAAAAATGGGGTTCATAGATCTCAGTCATCATGTATTCCTAGGGGAACCCAGACACATGGATGAGCCTGCAGTGCCCAGGTCCCATCTCCCCAAAAGGACAATGGCCTGGAGCCCCATTTGCCAGGCATCAAGGTCAAATGGCACAAAGAAGAGGAAGAGGGTGGGGACATCATACCAGTTCCCATTGTGGCATGGCCCACGTGGAAATACATCTGGGCTCAGATATGGCCAGAGCCCACACCCCCTCCAGAAGCCAGGGCAAGTGGGCCTCTTTCCATATGAGTGCCACGTGTCAGGCCTTTCTAGCTCCTGGGGTTGGATTCAGGGCCACCTGCAAACTAGGCAGATGCTCTACCCCTGAGTCACACCCCAGCCCCTCACTGGGGGATTCTAGGCAAGTGCCCTACCCCTGAGTCACACCCCAGCCCCTCACTGGGGGATTCTAGGCAAGTGCGCTACCCCTGAGTCACACCCCAGCCCCTCACTGGGGGATTCTAGGCAGGTGCTCTACCACTGAGTCACACCCCAGCCCCTCACTGGGGGATTCTAGGCAAGTGCCCTACCACTGAGCCACACCCCAGCCCCTCACTGGGGGATTCTAGGCAAGTGCCCTACCCCTGAGGAGTCACAAATCCCAGCCCCTCACTGGGGGATTCTAGGCAGGTGCTCTACCACTGAGTCACACCCCAGCCCCTCACTGGGGGATTCTAGGCAGGTGCCCTACCACTGAGCTACATTCCCAGCAATCCCCCCCGTCTCTCTTGACACAGGGTCTCCCTGTAGCCCCAGGTGGCCTGAAACTATGTGGACCAGGCTAGCCTCTATCTCACAGAGATCTGCCTCTCTCTACCTTGTAAGTGCTGGGATTAAAGGTGTCCACCACTATGCCTGACTCCCAGCTCCCTTTTTTACTCTTTATTTTTAGATAAGATCTCATTACTTTGCCCAAGGTGACCTTGAACTCACTCTGTAGCCTAGGCTGGTCTTGAACTTTCAATCCTGCCTCAATTGCTTGAAAGACTGAGATTACAGACCTATGCCTAAATTTGCTTATTTTTTTTAATTATTATTTTTTTTATAAGTATGAGTGTATTACCTGCATGTATGTAAGTGCGCCTGTGTTATGCAGTGACCACAGAGGTCAGAAGAGGGCATCAGATTTCCTGGAATTTGAGTTACAGATGGTTGTTAGCCACCATATGGGTGCTGGGAACTGAACCCCGGTCCTCTGCAAGAACAGCCAGTGCTCTTAACCGCTGAGTCATCTCTCCAGTCTCTAAGTTTTAATTTTATATATTTATTTTATTCATTGATTAATTCATTGATTTATTGAGATAGGCTCTCATGTAGCCTAGGCTGGCCTAGAACTCAATATGTTACAGAAGATGTCCTTGAACTTCTGATCTTCCTGCCTCCACTTCCCAAGTGTTGGGATTACAAGGGATACCACCACCTGGTTATGCAGTGCTGGGTATGCAACCCAGGGCTTCATGCTAGGCAAGTGCTCTACCAATTGAGTCACAACCCCAGCCCTGCCCTGTTCTAAGTGCACAGCTCAGGGAACCACCACTTTGTCTAGGTCCAGAACTTTCTCGCCACCCAAAAGGAAGCCCTGTGTCCATGAGCTCCCCCCAAGGCCTCTTCCCTTGAACCCAGCCCAGCCCAGCAGACTCCCTCCCCCCATCCCTGTCTGCTCAGCTTGCAGGAACCACCAGGTGCCAGCAGGTGAAGGCACCTGTTGGCCAGCAGGTTCCTGGGAGCCAGCTGCTGCTGCGCAAACAGCCCCAGAAGGATAGAGTGTCGACAGGGGCGGGGACAGACTTCAGCTCCTCCTCTGGTCCCTCCTTCAGCCTGAAGCCCAGGTGGGCCACTGGCCAGGTGAGGCCCTACCTGCCTTCCTGGCCTAACACAGCCTTCCAGAGCCTTGCTCCACCCCCACGGCAGGTGCCAGTGGAGACAAGGTGGCCACGTGAAAGACTAGTCTGGAGTCCTCAGAGGTGGCCAGGCCGCCCAGGCCTGAGCCCAAGAGCTTCCTGCCCACAGAGGTAGGCTCCAGCCCTGTGACCTGACAACGGAGAGCAGGAAGGAGGCGCAATGGGAGGAAGGGCTCCGCCGGCAGCCTCTGGAGCTTATTGAGACATTAAGAGCAGAGGGCAGGCAGTGGGTGGCTGGGGATGAAGGTGGGCAGGGGGGCTGGTGTGATGGGTGGGTACTTTCCCCTGAAGGAGGCAAAGCTTCCTGGCTTTCTCAGAAAAATGCCTCAGTCAAGTAGAACAGGTGGATCCCCACTTCCTAATCCTGAGTGGAAGCAAGCTTTGGGGATTTTTGTTTAGTTGTTTGGTTGGTTGGTGTGTTTGTTTAAGACAGGGTCTCTGTATAGCCCCAGCTGGCCTGGAACTCAAGGCTGGCCTTGATCTCACAGAGATCTACCTGCCTCTGTCTTCCCAGTGCTGGGATTAAAGGTGTGCACCACCATGCACAGCTTGTTTGGGGATATTTTTGGAGACCAGGGTCTCACTGTGTAGCCCAGTCTGCCCTCAAACTCATGGACACAGCCTCTAGAGGGCTGGGATGACAGACATGTGCCATCAGGCAAGCTTAGAACCAGTCTTTGGCCCCCTGGGAACTAGCTCCCTGAGGTCCCAGAGCATTGAATCTGAGGGGTTTCCCAGGACACCAGCTCAAGATCTGAGCCCCAGGCAGGAAAGCAACCAGGCCCCTGGGCTTCCACGTTCCCCAGGGGTGACTAGAGTCAGGGGAGAGGGTGGGAGAGGCAGACACAGATTCCTGTAGAAGAAACAGGTGGCCATGAGTGCTCAGGAAGATCTTGGGATGTTGAATGGGGTACCAGCGATGGTGGCCAGGTGGGCAGAAGTTCATAGTGGGCACAGCTGGCCACTGGGAAACACCCACATGGCCTCAGGCCTCAGCCCCTGTGGCCCCACCTCCCGCCCATCCCATCCCCTCCCCTCCCTCGGAAGCCTGAGCTGGGTCCTCACTCCTCTGCTGGCCCCTGCAGATGAGGAACTCATCAGGGCTCCTGCGGACAGCTGGAGTCCCTCTGGTTTCGGCGACCTGGCTTCTGCCCAGCCCGCCCCCGGCAATGCCCACAGTGGCAGCCAGGCCACAGATGGAGCGCGTGGACAACGGCTCGCAGGGGGCCCCCCAGCTCTTCCTTAACAGCGCGCTGGCCCGAGGCATGTCAGGTGTATTTGTATGGACTGCTCTGCTGCTCACCTGCCACCAGGTAAGCCCCCCTGTTTGGCCTGGCAAAGGACCATAGGTCTCTATAGGACCTGGCAGCTGCTGGGGTCAGGGGACCTCCATGGACAGTCCCAGTACTGGACACTGAGGCCTGGTGGGACCCCAGGCCACAGTGTCCAGCTAGGGCCTTTCCCCAGGGGCCAGGCCTGAAGTCTCTGCCAGGCAGAGGGCAGAGGGCAGAGCACTAGTCCAGCACCCCAAGTCATATCCTTGGCCCCTCACACTGGTCACTGAGGTCAGTGATTGGTTCCAGTTCACAGACAAGCACACTAAGACTCAGAGGGTCAGGGGCTCCCCCAGGCTCACACAGCTGGAGGAGCAAGGGCCTTATCCCTCTGGAGCTGGCCAGGGCCGGAATTTGCTCTGTAGCGAGCCTCAAGCCAGAAACAGGCAGCTGGGAGCTGTTGGGGGTAGGGGGCTGGAAGTTAGGGGAATGAGATTGGGTGAGCTGCGTGGAAGGAGAAGGAGCTAAGAGAAGACTGGGAGGTAGGAGCTGGGGGGGCAAGCGTCTGGAGAGCTGGGGAGCAGGAGCTGGGAGTGGGGAATTGGGGGTGGGGAGTGGGGGGACAGGGAGTTGGAGAACTGGGAGGTAGGAGCTGGGGATAGGAAGCTAGGCAGTAAGGAGTTGGATGCAGGAGCATCGGTCCTCTGGGATGCCACCTAACACTGTGAGGACATTGGTGAGCAAGTGAGCCCAGGGCAAGGGCCCTCAGGAGCAGAGACAGGAAGTGAGAGCAGGCTCCTCTGCCCATGTCAGACACCTGCTGGCTGGTACCTATCCAGGTGTGGCCTCAATAACCAGGATACAAGGAACACACACCAGTATCTAGAGACAAGCCAGGTGGGTCCTAGCCATAGAGGTGGGTGGCATGAGGCTGGCCCTTGCTGTTCAGGCCAGCAGAAAAGGCTTCCCAGAGGAGCAGGAACTGAACAGAGGGGTTCAATGCCTCACTTTACAAATGGAGAAAAGAAGGCTAGAGAGGTCAGCAGCTTGTCAAGGTCACTAGTCAGGCAGTGCCAGCCTGGGAGAGGTCTCCTGCTGGCTGGTCACACTGTGTTCTCCCTCAGCAGTGGCCAGGGAGGGACGGACTGATAGGAGCTTGGCTCTGACACCAGCAGCCTCTGTATCCCACACAGCCTCTGCACACAGTTCCCTCAAACATCATTATCCTGTGCCCCGAAGGGCACCTCCCCAGGAAGTCTTCCCTACAGTGGCCTGGAATGGGGCCATCCATCCAGCTCCCAATCCTCTTAAAGACTCTATGGAGGCCAGGTGTGGTGGCCCATGCTTTTAATCCCAGTTCTGGGAGGCAGAAGCAGATGGGTGTCTGAGTTCAAGGCCAGCCTGGTCTACATAGTGAGTTACTGGCCAGCCAGGGCTACACAATGAGACCCTGTCTCAAGCAAATTAATTAAAAAGACCCAGCATGAGGTTTTAGGTTCCATCTCCAGAACTGGGGGCGAGGGGGGGTACGGGGGGGTGTTTCTGTTCTAGTGTGTCCCTGTACAAAAACATGGAAAATTCAGAAAGGTTCAAGGAACACTATGATCACCTTCCTGTTTTGTTGGGAAAGGGTGTTGCTGTTTTTGTTTTTGCTTTGTTTTGTGGTTTTTTTTGAGACAGCATCTTGTACCCAGGCTGGTCCCAATCTCGCTATGTAGCTCTGTCCATCCATTCTGCCTCTACATTCCCAAGTTTCAGGATGACAGGCAGATATCACCTTGACCCTTTTATGTGATGATGGGAATGGAACCCAGGGCTTCCTGCATGCTAGGCAAGCACCCTACCAACTGAGTCACATCCCCAGCCCTTTCCTTCCGTTTTTATCAGGTATGTGTAATACTGGGAACCCTGCTGGTTCTCAGTATTCTCTCAACCTGGTTCTCAGGTTCCTCATCTCATTAGAGAGCTTGCCTTAGAGATGTTTCTGAGCATCTTTTTATGAAGGGGGGTATCTTTTTGAGACAAGGTCTCCCTGTAGCCCCAGCTGTCCTAGAACTCACTATGTAGACCAGGCTGGCCTTGAACTCACAGAGATCTGCCTGCCTCTGCCTCCCGAGTACTGGGATTAAAGGCGTGTGCCACTATGCCCGGCTCTGAGCATCTTTTTACTGACTATATAATGCTCCTTTGCACATCAGTTATATAGTATAGCCAGCCTGGGCCTCTATGGTGAGGGTGGGAAACCCCAGCAGTCATTCCTTGTGTTTCAGTATTTTGAGTCTCCATGCACAGAATTTTCCTATTTGTTTGTTTGTTTGTTTATAGTGTTTTTGAGCCTGGAACTTGCTAGGTAGACCAGGCTGACCTTGAACTCACAGATCCACCTGCCTCTGCCTCCCAAGTGCTAGGATTAAAGGCTTGTGCCACCATGCCCAACTTAATTTTCCCCTTTATTTAAGGAGTTTAAGGAATAAATTCATTCCTCTGTCCCTATGCTGAGAGCCTAATTGTGTTACAAACGCTCTACCCCTTCAGGTCTCCTGACCTAGATCTGACACTCAGCAGGGCTCAAGAAACTGTTGTTGAATGAGTGCCGCAGTGCTCACCGCAGCCCGCCTTACTCCCACAGGACATTGTAAATTGAGACGTGCCCTGTGCCTGAAGATGCTAAAGAATGGGGTTGTTTTTGTTTTTGTTTCTGTGGGGGAAGTGGGGTAGTGGAGAGATGACTGGGCAGTTAACAGCACTGACTGCAGCCAGGCATGGTGGTGAACGCCATTAGTCCCAGCACTCTGGAGGCAGAGGCAGGCAGATCTCTGTGAATTCAAGGCCAGCCTAGTCTACATAGCTAGTTCCAGGCCAGCTGGGTCTACATTGAGACCCTGCCTCAAAAAGACAAAAACAAGAGCACTGGTTCAGTCTCTAGCACCAGAAAAAGCCCAGGCATGGCAGACGCATCTGTAACCCCAGCACCAGGGGGTGGGGAGGGTCAGTGAGTCCCTGAAGCTCAGCCACAAGTGTACCAGATCAGTGAGCTCCAGATTCCATGAGAGAGGTCAAGAAAATAGGGTGGGTGGGACTGGAGCGATGGCTCAATGGTTAACAGTAGGTACTGTTTTTGCAGAGGACCCCAGTTCAATTCCCAGCACCCATACCAGGTGACCCACAACCACCTGTGATTCTAGCTCCAGGGGATTCGATGCCCTTGTTTGACCTCCATAGGTACCTGCATACATGTGGAATATACACACAAAGACACATATGCATACATTTAAAAAATTAAAATAATGCCAGGCATGGTGCTGCATGCCTTTCATCCCAGCACTTGGGAGGCAGAAGCAGGCAGATCTCTGTGAACTTGAAGGATAGCCTGGTCTACAATAGTGAGTTCTAGCCCAGTGGGGGCTACAGGAAGACCCTGTCTCAAACAAACAAAAAAAAATTTTTTTAAAGTTACATGGAGAGCAGTTGAGGAAGACACCCAGCATCAGCTTCTGGCTTCCACATGCATGCACACACATGTGCAGCCACACACATGTGCAGCCACACATACCAGCATACACCACATATGTACAAATATGCAAACAAAAAATCCACGTGGGTTGGATACCATAAATGTATGTGTATGAGTGTTTTGCCTACATGTATGTAAGTATACCACATGTGTGCAATGCCCTTGGAGGCCAGAAGAGGGCGTCAGAGCCCCTAGAACATGAGTTTCAGATAGTAGGTTGCTGCCATGTGAGTCCTGAGAACTGAATCCCCGTCTTCTGGAAGAGCAGCCAGTGCTCTTGACCACTGAGCCATCCCTCCAACCCCAAGTTTAATTTTTTTGTTAATCACAGATACTTTTTTTTTCTTTGTGGTGCTGAGGATTGGACCTAGGGTTTTACACATGGTTTATCTGAGCCACACCCCAAGCCCCTCACTGAGGGGATTCTAGGCAGGAGCTCTACCACTAAGCCACACCCCCACCCTCTTTTTACCTTTGTGTGTGAATAGAAGCCAGAAAGGTGTCATTCCACAGGCACTGTCCACATTGCTTTATGAGACAGAGTCTCTCACTGGGACCTGGAGTTCCTTGATTTGGCAAGACTGACCAGCCAGCCAGTGAGTTCCAAGAATCCATCTGTCTCCACCTCCCTAGCACTAGATGTAGGCCACATCACACCTGGCTTTTTCTTTGGGTTCTGGTGATCTGCATTCAGGTCCTCATGCTTGTACAGCAAGCACTTTATCCACTGAGCCATCTCCCCAGTTCCACATTCCATTTAGAGACAGGGTCACTAAGTTGCTTGGGCTGCACACATGATGTTCCTGCCTCAACCTCCCGAGTAGCTGGGATGACTGGCCTGCATGATCAGGCCTGACTCTTTCCATTTGATATATGTTCTCTATCCGTCTGATTACTATAGGAAAAGGTTTCCTTCCTGTGTCTGTCCTGCTCCCTGTAGAAAAGTAGGGAGTGTAGGAGAAGCAGGCCAGCCCAGAGGTCTGCCCAGTCTCACTTCCTGCCCAGCATCCTGGCTGGTGCCTGTGAGGTGAACAGAAGGGACAGGAGCTGGGGACAGAGGTCTCACCGGAACTCTCCTGGTGTAGATATACTCCCACCTACGTTCCTACACCGCGCCGTGTGAGCAGCGCTACGTCATCCGCCTCCTATTCATTGTGCCCATCTACGCCTTCGACTCCTGGCTCAGCCTCCTCCTCCTCGGGGGCCATCCCTACTATGTCTACTTCGACTCTGTCCGAGACTGCTACGAAGGTGATGGGGGGCTGGGCTGGGGAACCAGGGGGAACCCCAGACACACACACACACACACACACACACACACACACACACACACGATGCTCAGGGCTGGGCTGGGGGAGCCCAGTGAGAACCCCAGCCACCCACATGCTTACATGTTCCCACCAGCCTCCAGCCAGGTACCCCATCCTCCCTGTCTCAGCATGCGTCTGAGACCTGCTGCTTATAAGGGTTGCATAGTCTGCAACCTGGATGCCTGGTTTGCTGATCTGAACATGCCCTGAGGGTGTGCCCCAACATGTGCGCTATGGATTTCTGGTGGGTCTAGCCGAACCTACACGTGGAAGGGTCCCGTGGGCCCACGCTCACTATCACCCCTCTGTCCCCACTGCAGCATTTGTCATATACAGTTTCCTAACCTTGTGCTTCCAATATCTGGGGGGCGAGAGCGCCATCATGGCTGAGATCCGCGGCAAACCCATCAGGTGAGCCCACCCTGCCCAGGGCCTGGCCAGGCCATGCCAGGGACCCTTCAGCTGTCTTCCCAGCAGCCTCAGCCACTTCTTCCTCACATCCAGGTCCAGCTGCTTCTATGGGACCTGCTGTCTCCGGGGCGTGTCCTACTCCATCACGTTCCTGAGGTTCTGCAAGCAGGTGAAGGGCTGTCTAGCCCCCCGTGCCCTTGCCCTGCCCCCATGCAACCGTTCTCACTCCCTTCCCCCACCACACCCCCAGGCCACACTACAATTCTGTATCGTCAAACCAGTCATGGCTTTGATCACCATCATCCTCCAGGCCTTTGACAGATACCACGATGGAGACTTCAAGTAAGGAGAGTCAGGACCCCCTCAGGTCCTTCCTCAAGGGGCCATCCCTCTAAGTGGGCTGTAGCTCAGTGGGTAGAGTATTGGGCAACAAAAAGCCTCAAGCCCTGTTCTTGATGCTAAGATCCTGGAGAAAAGACCTAGGTGGGGCTGTGCCAGGAAGGGGACAAGCCAAAAGCATGTCTATAAAGGCCAGGGGTCGCTCTAACCAACATATCCTCTGGCCCAGTGTCCGCAGCGGCTACCTGTATGTGACCCTCGTGTACAACGCCTCTGTCAGCCTGGCTCTCTACGCTCTGTTCCTTTTCTACTTTGCTACCAGGGAGCTCCTGAGGCCCTTCGAGCCGGTGCTCAAGTTCCTCACCATCAAAGCCATCATCTTCCTCTCCTTTTGGCAGGGTGTGTGGGCTCTGGGCATAGGTGTGGAGCCAGGGCTGGCATTCCTGGAACCTGGGTTCAGACTGCACCTCCATCCCAGCCCTGTGTGTCTCAGCTTCCCTAGTCATGGGGAAGTAGCTCAGCTGCTCAAATCAGAGCCAGTAGAGCCTAGGGCTTTGGGATACAGTGAGGTCTGTCAGCAAAAGGAGGCCACAACTGGGCTTCCTGAGCCCTGGTCCCTGCCAGGCTGTGAGAATTCAGTCCCCATGGTGGAGGAAGACATCCAGCAGACAGACCATAGGAGAGAGGCCCCTAACTGGATGTGTCAGGGAGAGCACCCAAGGACGCCAACTTTGAGACACTCAGCCCTCTCAACCACAGTCCCCCGTCACAAAATGTGACCGTATGGACAGGCTGCCTTGGTCAGAGGAGACTGGGGGGAAGGCTAGTCTTTCTCTTGCCATCCCCTGCCTACATCAGGCTTCAGTGGGCAGGGCTCAGCTCCCTTCCAGGGCCTGAGCAGTCATCACCACCTCCAGGAATGCTGCTGGCCATCTTGGAGAGATGTGGGATCATCCCTGAGGTTCAAGCTGTGGATGGCACCAGAGTAGGGGCCGGCACACTAGCTGCTGGCTACCAGAACTTTCTAATCTGCATTGAGATGTTGTTTGCCTCGCTTGCGCTGCGCTACGCCTTCCCCTGTCAGGTCTACGCAGAGAAGAACTCGCCTGGTAAGCCTGGAGTACTGGAATGGCTTAGCCATGGTATCCACTGCCCAGCAGGGAGATACCCCTGTGGGTGTCTGAACCAGTAGGTAAGGGGGGCTGCGAGCTCTGGAGACTCTAGTAGACCTGGCCACTACCAGAGGTCCCTTGAGGGTGTCAGGAGGGGCTGGGCTGACCACCCTAAGAGTACAGCCATTTGGATCATATGGCTGGTGACCGCCTGGCTCCCACCTGCTCAGTGTGAAGGGCTCTGGTATCTGGAGTCACTTGCTAGCCAATGGCAAGGCCTAAACACACAAGATCCACCCCCAGGCCTGAGTAGCCCAAGATAGCCTGGGTAAGACAGGACTGAGGGAATGGGTATTCAATGTGGGGTGCTAGGGTCCATGGAGGCCTGTGGCTCAGCCTATGCTCTGTCCCCTCCAGCCCCACCAGCACCTATGCAGAGCATATCCAGTGGCCTAAAGGAGACGATCAGCCCTCAGGACATCGTCCAGGATGCCATTCATAACTTCTCACCAGCCTACCAGCAGTATATACAACAAGCCACACATGAGGCCCCGGGGCCCAGCCAGGGTGGGCACCATCCATCACCCAGCACCCACCCTGGCCCAATCAGTGGCTCCAGAGTGGGTAAAAAAAGCCAAAACATAGAGAAACGCATGCTGATTCCCTTTGAGGACCTGTAGGGATGAGGAGAGTGTGGAGTCTGGCTGGGGACCCAGTCTGCCTGGGCCCCCACCCACCAGCTTACTTTCCAGAGGCCCAGCCTCTCCTGAGAAACCCCCTGCGAGGTCTTGGGGGCCCTCCCCATCCCACATATGGCCCAGGGAAAAGTCACCTGGGCGAAATGGACAAGCCCAAGGACCCAGTGGCGTGACCAGGCCGCAGGTGGACCTGAGAGCTGGCTACTCCTTCCATACCACAGGCCCACGAGACAGATGGTTAGGTCAACTGCAGAGAGGGACAGTCAGGAAGAATAGGCCCGGTCACCTAGGACTGAGGAGCCACAGAGCCTGGGCCTGGCTGTGGCTATCTTGGGTGCATGAAGAAACCCCCCTGCCCTTTATTCTAGCACAGATCCTTGGTAAGGCCCCCACGGGGGTGGCCTGGCCTCTTAGCACAGCATGGCTGTGAGGGCACCAGCCTGCCAGCTACTAACTGCTTATTTATAGATAAACACCTTGCATTTTCTAAAGCTTGTTGGATGTCTGTTTTTGCAGGACTTATATCCCATGTGAAGGGCTACCAAGGGGTGGTCCGCCAGGGCCCATGGGATAAAGCTGGGTGTCAGGGACAACCAGGGCAACCACTGCAGTGTGGCTCAGAGCAGTGCAGGGCAGAGTGTGGACTTTCCCACCAGATGAGAAGTTCTGTGCTACCATTAGAGCTGGGGTAATCATCTCCCTGGGCACCTCAGGCTGGCCCCAGCTGAGAGTGGATTATGAGGCTGAGCATAAGCCTGGTATCCTGCCTTTTTCCCTTCCACTTCCTGCATACCAAGGAGAACCAAGTGCCCAGGGAGCTTGAGATCAGCCCAGTATCTGTAGCTAGAATGGCTTTGGAAATGTGGGGGACAAAGGCAGCAGGTGTGGGGAGCCAGGCCCAGCAAGCCAGACAGGCACTTGGACAGTGGGCACCACCCAGGGAGCAGTGACACCCGCCTGGCTGCTGGTTCCCACGGCCAGTAGGGAGAGAAGAGAGCGTGCCCTTGACTTCAGAGACAGCTAAACAGCACCTGACTACAGTGTCAAGGGTGGGGAGGTGACACTCCCCTGCCTTCTTGTTTCCAGGGCACAGGAATCAGGGATTCAAGGCCAGTGGCCTCTCTCTGGCCCTGCTGGGCTGATAAGACAGACTTAGTTCCTCCCTGCACCTGGCCACAAAGAGCCACCCACACCCACTTATCATGCCTTCTGGGGCTGGCAGGGCTACAGAGCAGCCTCGGGAAGGGCTCACAATATCTGGAGACTGAGACAGGCTCTGTGCCAGCCTTCCAATGAGAGGGGAGACTTAGGCAGTCCTCTGCCAAAGGGAGAGACCCTATCTCTGCCCTAGAGATAGATGCCAAGTAGCCTCTGGGGCCCTGGACGGCCTCTGAGGTCTGTGCTTTAGAGAAGGGATAGAATTGACATCTATGAACACCCACCCATGTGTCAGGAACCTGCATATACTGATACTGGGGAAGGTGGGCCCTGACCAGGTTGCCGGAAGTCACTGAGCATGGCAAGGAACTGACTACTCCCTCCTCCACAGACATCTTCACCTGTAGATGGGCATGCTTTCTCCCAACACAACACAAAGCAAAGCCAGGCTAGGGATAATATGGTACCCAGGGCTCAACATGGGCTGTTTGAATGTGGCCACTGACTCAGAAGAAGCCAGCTGCCTAGGCATTGCCACTCAGGGAATATGGGGGAATGGTTGGGGTATGGGGGGGCTTCAAGTTTCATCACTAGTGAAAGAAGGATCAGGCACAGTACCAGCCCACGGGGCCCGAGGAAGGGACTGCTTGGTAGGCAGGAACTGGGTTTGTCCTGGCTCAGCCTTTTGCCATTTCCTGTGTACACACACATGCATGCCTGCAAGTATGCATGCATGTAAGCATTTGTATGGCAGCCAGAGGTCGATGCTGGGCGTCTCCTCAGTTATTCTCCACATCATTTTTTGGCAATTTTTTAAATTTTTTAAAATTTATTTTTAGTTTATGTGTATGAGTATTTTGGATATAAGTACACCACATTCATACAATGCCCTCAGAGGCCAGAAGAGGGCATCAGATCCCGTGGAACTGGAGTGACAGACTATATCACCTTGTGAGTGCTGGGAATTGAACCCAGGTCCTCTGCAAGATCAGCCAATAATCTTAACTGCTGAGCCATCTCTCCAGCCTCCTTCAATGGTGATTTTTTTTTCTTCCCACCTGTGACAAATTGTCTATAAATAAAATCTATACTCAGCCATCACTAGCAGTTCCAAAGTTTAAGGACTGAAAACAGGGATCAAATCAGGATGCTTAAGGTATTGAACCTTCACTGTATTTTTTGACAGGACCACTCACTAAACCTGAAGCTTCATCAGTTAGGCTAAGCTGGCTGTTCAGTAAAGCCCCAGGAATCTGCCTGTCTTCATCTCAACCCCAAAAGTGCTGGGGTTACAGATGCACATGACCAGTCCTTTATGTGGGTGATGGGGCTCTGAACTCATGCTTAATTTGTCTACTGAGCCAACATACCAGCCCCTATGCCGTGAGATACGGTCTTACTCTGTAGCCCAGGCTGGCCTGGAACTCTGTGTAGCATAGGCTGTCCTTGAACTTGCCATCATGTTGTCTCAGCCTCCTAAATGCTAGGATTTCCAAGTGTGAGCCACAATGCTAGGCTCTTGCCATTTCTAACTTGCTCTGATCCCTGGTTCTCGTGTGTGTGGTAACCCAGGCAAAACCTAAGCACAGTGTAGGTGTCCAGCATGGCTGGTCAGGGGCTCCTTTACATTCTGTCTGGCCACAGAAGCTGGTTGCCACTCAAGAGTAGGCTAGGGTCAGTTGCAGAGAAATCTGCCTTAGCTAAGTGGTCACCCTACCTGGTAAATATCTCTGCAGTCAGGGTAGGTGAGCAGGAGGGACATGTGGGTTGGTCCAGCCTACTGAGGTCAGGGCAGGGGCTGACAGCTCACCTGGAAAGTCTGGGTGGAGGGATGGCATCCATCAGGAGACCTAGTTGATCTGGGTCTAATTAGGCTTCCTGTGCATGTGTGAATGTACAGGCACGTGTGTGGAGGCTAGAAGACAGCTTTGTTTCTCAGGCACTGTCTACCTATTCTTGTTTTAAGACAGGGTCTCTCATTGGCCTCACCAAGTAGGAATTCATCAGAGGGCCAGTGAGCCCCAGAGTCACCTGCCTCTACTTCCCCAGTGCTGGGATTACAAGCATACCATATGTCTGGCTTTTTAACACAGGTTCTGGGGACTGAACTCAGGTCTTCATGCTTACAAGGCAAGCTCTGTACCAGTCATTTCTCCAGCCCTAGTTATGCTTAAAACATTCTATTGGCTGCACTAAGCTGGGACATTGCTCTCTGCCCCACATGGACCCTGTCCCTCTTGCAGTGTCCTACAGGTTCACCCCAGACCCCACCCAACACTGCTCAGGGGGCAGGGCCAGGCAGGCAATATGGCCCACCCTGCTGGGAAGGGACGGCTCAGGTCCCTGAGGCTCCCAGCTATAAAGCAGGGATCTCTCAGCTATCAGAGACTACTGGATGCTCAGGGACCCACTTGCAAGTGAGCCAGGAGCACAGGAATGCCAGTCCCCGCATCCCAAGAAGCCAGTCCAGGATCCTGACTCAGGTCCCCAGGAGCCTTGGTATGTGGTATAGGAAGCCAGGGCCCACCAGGAGGTCTAGCCCAGGTCCCAGGGCTTCCAGCCACATCAGCATCCACACTGGTAACATCTCAAACAGGAAACTCTTTATTGCAAAGATACAAAAGCAGTCACAGCAACATGTACAGCAATAAATTAGGTAGTGGCCATAAGGCAGGGTGCAGATGGGTCCACGGTATATGATCTCGTCTCAATAATTTATGACATGGGGGGAGAAAAAGTAGCACAAAAAAAAATAAATATTGAAATGAAACTGATGAAACTGCCAAGTACAGGTGGCCAGGGACGCTGGGCCCGTGTGGCCAGTACGCATCCCTGTCCCTCTGAAAGAACACAGCTTGCCTTCTTTGGGAAGATAGAGGCATGAGACAGAAAACTCATTTTCTTAAATAAAAAAATCCATATATTAAATCATGAAAATGAAATTTCAGTGATATAAAGAAAAACAGAGCACACTCACATCCTTCCTTAGCCCCTCCTTCCAGGTGGGCCCCTGGATGAGCTCCAGGTGGGAAGAGCTCTCTCAATCTCAAGGTTCAGAGCCCCCCACCAGAAGTACACAGCAACCCACAGCCAGTGGTCACCTGCTTACCACATCCCACAGACGGGATACCAGGAGCTGGGAAGAGGCCGCTACTGCAACCCATCTTGGAGCGCACATGCTACTAGTGACCCAACGTGTCCAGGCCACTTGGTGGCACCCTGGGCTTCAGTCCAAAGCAAGCAACTGATTCATGGAAGCAGGGGGAGGCGGGGAGCATGGGCGATGGACAAGCCCCCACCCCATGCAACCCACTCTGCACTAATAGAGATCTACCAGGAAAGAAAACTGTTATGAAGAATCTGTATGATAAAATGTGTATATAATTTTTATATATATATATATATCTTCTCTCTCTTTAAATATTCCCCCATGGTCCTTATTGATATCCAATATGGATTACCTACCAAAAGGTATTGACAGCAATTTCTAAGTGCCTGGCTGTGGCTCAGCCTGCCCCTCCCCACTCCTCCCACCTACCATGCTCCCCAGGATCTTGGGGGACAGCCCACCACACAGCAGGGCCCCAGTTTCTGACTGGACAATAAGCTGAAGCCCTTGGGGCTGCCTGTCCTCTGCTCTCTTCCCAATCCTGCAGGCAGACCTGGCATCTCCCTGGAGGCTTGCTGCAGCCCTCTTGTGCTGGCCCTGATAGTTACACATGGCTTCTAGCTGGTGACAGGGCACAGGGCTCATATTCCACCAACCTGCCCCAGATGGGGCTCCCAAAGCCAGCCCTTGCTCACCCAGCTGGGACTCTAGTCACAGGAAGGGGCGCTATAGCCGTGCTCTGGGAGAGAAGGCCCAGAAAGGGTCCCCAAGGTGACCAGTGGTACAAACATTCAGGAAGAAGGAATAGGCAGGTGACAATTGAGCACCAAGGTTGCACAGATGGTCTCTCTGTGCCTACAGACTGCCCTGGGATCTCGCTGACCTACCCACAGGGGGGATATCCACAAGGCCCTCCAGATGTGCCCTCTGGCCCTCTACACTGTGATGCTATGGCCTTTCCACATCCTGGGGTCTAGGCCCCCAAGACTCCACTCGATCCTCACCCACCTCACTGCCTGTCTTTCTCCAGTAAGAAGACACATCGTAATTGCTACCTCTACATCCCCCAACATCTCTCAGGTCACTTGCCCCCTCCAGCCTCTCTCCTCTGCTGAGTACAGATGTTTGCTGGCTTTGTGGCTAGGTGGCCCCTACACCACACTATGCAGCCGCCTCAGCTGACAGACAACAAGAGACACTCCACGACCTCCATGCAACCCTCTGCACATACTGGACAGACTTTCCCATGTGACCACCTACCTGACCAGGGCTCCTTGCCCTCGGGGGCTGTGCCAGGCCCTGCAGGTAGCCATTCCTAGAACTGCTTCCCAGGACATGGCTCTCAGGGATAACACAGATTGTGGCGCCATTTGCTAGGAACAAGGTTGGAACTTGTTCCTGTCACCAGCCAGAGCCCAGCAAAGGGCAGTGCAGTGTCCACCGTGGCAGCTGGAGAACCTTGGCAGGGATGCTATTGATGGGCAGGCATTGAAGAAGGCTCATAAAAACACACCCCTGCAGGAAGGGGCAGTGTGTGTGTACACGTGTGTGCATGGGACTGTGTGCAGCACCTGCTCAGGAAAACCTCCCTCTCACGCTGCATCAGTCTATCCCTGCTGTCCCCACCCTCAGCCTGGCAGGGTCCGAGATGGGCAGGTGCACATAAGGAGTCTGTGCCAAGGAGCCTAAGACAGGCGTGGGCCGTGCCTCTGCCAGCACCCTGCCTGGCCCAGGCAGGCACTAGGACGCAGCTGAGAAGGGTACAGAGGTGGAGGAGAGCTCAGCCGACTTGACGATAGTGATGACGCTGGTGGTGGCCACCTTGGTGGGCGTGACAGGCCCACGGGCCACGGTGCGGGCGAAGGTCTGCAGGGCCTCGTACTTGGAGCGCAGGGCGTCCAGCTCCAGCCGCATGCTGCTGTTCTCCCGGGCCAGTTTCTCCACCTCCCGCTGCAGCTCCACTCGCTGCCGCTCCAGCTCCTCTTTTTGAGTCACTCGCTTGATGCGACAGCTGGCCGCGTAGCCACGGTTCTTGAGTGTGCGTCGCCGCTGCTTCAGCCGCGTCACCTCCTCCTTGGTGAGCCCCCGAAGGTGCTGGTTCAGCTCCCGCACCGACATAGACACCAACTCATCATCACTGAGCACAGGGGCGTTCTCGCCCGCCTCCTTCTTGACCTGAGGGACCATAGCAGCAGGGGTTAGCATGGGGAGATGCAGGGTTCACTCCAGTACCTGCTCACAGTCGCCAAGAAGGCTGGGATCTGGTCCAACAGAAGCCCAGCAGTGCCTCTTGCCTGTCCTGTGCTCCCATTCTGGACCAGGGTGGCAGTGTGGGACTCTAACATTGTGCCCATGACAGGGTGCCACAAAGTCATATTGCACAGCCCTGTCACTAGGACCCCTCTTTGATCAGAGAGGACCCAAAACCTGTTTCCTTAAGAAGTAAGGTCATGGGGCTGGAGAGATGGCTCAGTGATTAAGAGCACTGCTCTTGCAGAGGACTTGGGTTCGATACCCAGCACCCACTTAGTGGCTGACAACCACCAGTAACTCCAGTTCCAGGGATCTGACACCATCTTCTGACCTCCAAAGGCATTGCACAACAATGCACTTACATACATACATGCAGACAATACACTCATACACATAAAATTTTAAAAAAGAAGTATTCAAGGAGTTGGAGGGGTGGCTCAGAGGTTAAGAGCACTGGCTGCTCTTATAGAGGACCTAGGTTTGATTCCCAGCACCCACATGGCAGCTAACAACTGTCTGTAACTCCAGTTTCAGGGGATTCAGTGCCCTCTTTTGACCTCTGTAGGCATTACATGACACAGGTACACTTACATACACGCAGGCAATACACTCATATACATAAAATAAAAATATTTGAAAAATGAAAAAAAATTAAAATTAA